AATAACAAAAAATATTAGATAGTATGTGTACAGCCTAGTAGTATTTCATTCTAAAAAAAGTCATTGGGTCATTCTGGGTAATAAGTAAGAAGTGTAAGTTATATTTTAACACAGTTTGAGGGCTGTTAACACTAATGATGTGCTTAATGTCCCATGGAGCTCTAGTTTAGTCATCATTAGGTATCAAACACTTGTCAGCCTGTTGGTTTTGGTCGCATTATTTCAGGACAGCGAGTACTTCAACTCCCTGCGATGGATCTTGGAGAACGATCCCACAGATCTGGACCTCAGGTTCACCATCGACGAGGAGCTCTTTGGACAGGTGATCTGTTCTGCTTTACACTATATACGCACCATGCAACTTTTGCTTTACATTCCAAGACGCTTTGTGTGAGGAACAGACTGGAACAGAATTTGGTGAAAATTAGGTGAACTATTCCTGTAAAAGACCTGTAAATAAAGTCCTCTAGACTTCCTAAAGATATGATTCGTGTAGTTGTATTTTGATGTGATATTGATCTGATCTCTTCCACAGACGCACCAGCATGAGCTGAAACCAGGAGGTGCTGATATTGTGATCAATGACAACAACAAAAAGGAGTATATTCAGTATGTTTTACCGCCCTCTAGTGGTACACAGATCTAACACATCAATGTCACAGAGACACTTTTCACATGGGACAGGCTTCACGATATAATACCATCTCCTCTGGTGTTTCTTTGCAGTCTGGTGATGCAGTGGAGGTTTGTGGATCGGATCCAGAAACAGATGACGGCCTTCAAGGAGGTACAGACCCTCGTTCAGGCGGTTCTCAGTGCCGCCCACTGAGAGTTTCACTGACTTGTGTTTTATCTGCAGGGTTTCTATGAGCTGATCCCTCAGGACCTGATCAAGATCTTTGATGAAAACGAGCTGGAGGTGAGACCATCTGCTTTACGCTGTATGTAACTGAGCTCTCATGACCCTGCTGACCTCTCTGTGTTCCTCAGCTGCTGATGTGTGGCTTAGGAGACGTGGACGTCAACGACTGGAGAGAAAACACCAAATATAAAAATGGCTACAACCCAAATCACCCTGTCATCATCTGGTTCTGGAAGGTCAGATTTGATTCCTGACATGTTT